TTTGGGGTTTTTTTGTTTGGTTTTTTTTCCTGGCCAATGTAATGAACTTACTAGTTTTGCACTCACCTAGATAGCCTTTCCTTATGGGAAAAAAAAAAAAAAAACCAAAGAGGAAAGCCAATGTCTATAATGAAAACAGGAATGCATTTTCCCATAAAATCTACCCTGCACACTTCAATACATGTCTTTTATTGTGGCAGTACCCATTAAACTTTTTTAATTTTAGTTTAAGAAAAATAAAAAATGACCTGGATGAGGGGACAGAGTATACCCTCGGAAAGTTTGCTGATGGCACAAAACTGAGAGGGGTGGCTGACACACCAGAAGGCTGTGCCACCATACAGCGAGACCTGGACAAGCTGGAGAGTTCAGCAGAGAGGAACCCAAAGAAGCTCAACAAGGGCAAGTGTAGGGTCCTGCACGGAAAGTTTGCTGATGGCACAAAACTGAGAGGGGTGGCTGACACACCAGAAGGCTGTGCCACCATACAGCGAGACCTGGACAAGCTGGAGAGTTCAGCAGAGAGGAACCCAAAGAAGCTCAACAAGGGCAAGTGTAGGGTCCTGCACCTTGGGAGGAATAACCCTATGCACCTGTAGAAATTAGGGGTTCACCTGCTGGAAAGCAGCTCTGCAGAGAGGGACCTTGGAGTCCTGGTGTACAACAGGATGACCATGAGCCAGCAATGTGCCCTTGTGCCCATGAAGACCAATGATATCCTGAGGTGCATTAAAAAGAGCATGGCCAGCAGGTTGAAGGAGGCCATCCTCCCCTTCTACTCTGCCCTGGTGAGGCCACATCTGGAATACTGTGTCCAGTTCTGGGTAAGAACTGGACAAGAAGGACAGAGAACTACCGGAGAGAGCCCAGCGGAGGGCTACAAAGATGATCAAGGAAGTGGAGCACCTCTATGGTGAGGAACGGCTGAGAGACCTGAGTCTGTTTAGTCTGGAGACGAGCAGACTGAGAGGGGACCTCATCAGTGCTTATAAATATCTAAAGGGAGGGTGTCAAGATGGTGGGGCCAGACTCTTTTCAATGTGCCCAGTGACAGAGCACCAGGCACAGGCACAAACTAGAACACAGGAAATTCCATCTCAACATGAGGAAAGACTTCTTTACTTTGAGGGTGACAGAGCACTGGAACAGGCTGCCCAGAGAGGTGGTGGAGTCTTCTTCGCTGGAGATACTCAAAACCTTGATGTGTCCCTGTCCAACCTGCTCTAGGTGAACCTGCTTTGGCAGGGGCATTGGACTAGATGATCTCCTGAAGATACCTTCCAACCCCTGCTATTCTGTGATTCTGGGACTCTGGGATCCTATTTATCCCTATGCTAGCAGAGAAACCAGAAGGTGAATTGTGGAAGGAAAGAGTTAAAACTAACTGGGTGGATCGGTGGTGGACTCTGGGATTCTATTTATCCCTATGCTAGCAGAGAAACCAGAAGGTGAATTGTGGAAGGAAAGAGTTAAAACTAACTGGGTGGATCGGTGGTGTTAATAAATGTTCATTTAAGACCTCTTTCATTATTTTAAACCGCATTTTCTCATGCAGAAGCATGAAACCATGGATCAATAAGCAAGGTACAGCATGTGATTTTTAAAATCTGTAGTTTTTTAAACATGGATAAATGTATGGTATGATGTCAAATAATCATGACTGTACAAGAAACATTACATCAACATATTTAGAATTAGCAATATTGTCTACTGTGGAATAACTCAGTATCTGTAAGAACATAATTAGTACGCACTACTCCATGTTGGTAACTGCAGCTACTAAGGCATTAGCAGCTGACTCCCACAGCTACAGTGGAATGCTCAATATGATATAACCATCCTTGGTGTCCAACCAGCATTGCTGTTTTTTCATGGATACTTCTTCCCTTCCCAATGCCCTGGCATCAGACCATCTATTCTAGGTACCTGCTAGTCTTTCCCTCTGGTAGGATTGCAAGTCATCTGAGCTCAATTGACCATTAGCTCTTTTTCCACCTGTAAATTGTGTGCAAGTAGAATATATAGACCTGGGACTGGAATTTTCAGATATTTGATTGTTTAGTTGAACAGAAATGGCAGACCAATCTGCCAAAGTCCATAAATCCCTGTCATGCACATCACAGAATCATCAAATCATCTAGGGTGGAAGGGACCTTTAAGATCATGGAGTCCAATCATTGACCTAACACTGCCACAATCACCACTAGGCTGTGTCCCCAAGCACCCATGTTTTAAAGATCTCCAGAGATGGCGACTCCACCACTTCCCTGGGCAGTCTGTTCCAATGTTTGATAACCCTTTTGGTGAACACATTTTTTCCAATATCCAATCTAAACCTCCCCTGGTGCAACTTGAGGCCATTTCCTCTTGTCCTGTCACTTCTTGCTTGGAAGAAGTGACCAACCCCCACCTCTCTACACCCTCCTTTCATGTAATTGTAGAGAGCAATAAGGTCTCCCCTCAGCCTCCTCTTCTCCAGACTGAACAACCCCAGCTCCCTCAGCCTCTCCTCATAAGACTTGTGCTCCAGACCCCTCACCAGCTTCGTTGCCCTTCTCTGGACACATGGATGCCACTCGTGTATGGCCTCCATGGTCTGTGCAAGAGTAATAAACACAGTGTCTACAGCATGTCACGCACTGTGCGTGCACAGGCCATCAGCCAGGAGCCTCAGCTGCAGGTCTGGGACATCCCACACCCATCAGGCGTGCCTGTTCCCTGCCTCTCCCTTGCCTCCCTCAAGAAGTATTGTACCCTCCACCCAGGACACAGACCAACTACACCACTTGCAAAAAGGAAAAAAAAAAAAAAAACCAAAAACAAACCAACAAAACCCAACATATTTCTCCACTTTCTTGTCATCCATATCCTCTATTGAGACTGCAGCCTTTCCCATGAAGAGTCTGCCACCCGAGTCTTTTGCACACGCAGGGATTTCTGCTATTCCCGGCCACTCCTGCGGGGCATTCCTCTTGGCAGCATCGGCTGTTTCTCCACCCAGGGCACGGTGTGATCCTGCAGGGATGAAGAGGCTGAAAACAGACGAAACCCGTAACAAGAACGCCGCGAACCGCCCCGGTTTTATTTCAAACAATATATTTCCGCAAGAACAAACGCCTACGACCCGCTGCCCGCCTTTTTCTCTCTGCTGTGGGCCGCGGGGCGGGCGGGCAGGGCATCCCCCGGGCTGCCGGTGGCCACCGGGCGGGAGGAGGCGCTGGCCCCGGCACCGGCAGGAGCTGGACGGCAGCACCACCGCGCGGGAACGGCACGGAGCAGGAGCCCGGCTGGGTCAGGGATGCGAACAGGCCAACAGCAAGAGTCCCTGCCGGCCCGGAGAGCGCTGCCACGGCGCCAAAATATCACAGCATGGCGGGGGTGGGAAGGCATCTTCAGGAGATCATCCGGTCCAACCCCCCTGCCGAAGCAGGTTGCACAGGAACGCGTCCGGGCGAGTTTTGGGTGGCTGGAAAGCTGCCTGGAGAAAAGAGACCTGGGGGTTCGAGTTGACAAACGGCTGAATATGAGCCGGCGTGTGCCCAGGTGGCCAAGAAAGCCAATGGCATTCTGGCTTGTATCAAAAATAGTGTGACCAGCAGAAGTAGGGAGGTGATTGTGCCCCTGTACTCAGCACTGGTGAGGCCACACCTCGAGTATTGTGTCCAGTTCTGGGCACCTCAATACAAGAGAGATATCGAGGTGCTGGAGCGAGTGCAGAGGAGGGCAATGAAGCTGGTGAGGGGGCTGGAAGACAAATCGTATGAAGAGCGGCTGAAGGAGCTGGGGCTGTTTAGTATGAGGAAGAGGAGGCTGAGGGGACACCTCATCACTCTCTGCAACTAAGTGAAAGGACACTGTAGAGAGGTTGGTGCTGGTCTCTTCTCACAGGTAATTAACAATAGAACAAGAGGGAACGGCTTCAAGCTCCAACAGGGGAGGTTTAGATTGAACATTAGGAAGGAATTTTTCACAGAAAGAGTGGTCGGGCATTGGAACAGGCTGCCCAGGGAGGGGGTGGAGTCACTTTGTAGAGTAGGGTAGATGGTTGGACTCGATGATCCCAAGGGTCTCTTCCAACCTAGACGATTCTATGATCCTATGATTCTTCAGAGAAGGAGACTCCACCACCTCTCTGTGCAGCCTGTCCCGGTGCTCTGTCACCCTCACAGTCACCCTCGCTGTGCTCCAGTTTGCACCCTTTGCCCCTGGTCCTGTCGCTGGGCACCTCTGGAAAGGGAATGGCCCCATCCTCTTGACACCCACCCTATAAGCATCGATGAGGTTTCTTCTCACTCGCTGTGGCTCCCCACTCAAAATATGACGATTAAGAAAAAAAACCCAAAACCAACCAAACAAAAAGCAAACAAACAAAACACCAAAAAACCACCCCAAACCAACCAACCAACCAACCAAAAAAAACCCCAACCAAACCAAAACCAAAACCAAACCACCCAAAACAAGATCAGAGTTAGGCACGGCAGGGCTAAGGGGTTAATTACATCTTGAAGGCGGAACGTCCAACAGGCATTAACGCACGCTCATTAACGCACGCTGTAAGGCGCGTGGCAGAAATGATGACTTCTCTTAATTGGCGCGTGTTAGCGGGGCTGCAAGGAGTGAAACGGGGTGCTGGGGGGGTCACCCGGGGGAGAAAAAAGCTTCAAGGCAACGAGGCTCCGGGAGGAAGATGGGGCGAGTTGAGCCACAACGAGCCGCCGCGGGGAAGGAGAGTGGGGGGT